AATAAATCTCGTGTTAAAATTTTATGAAGACCTTTAAAAACACAAAACGAAAAGTTTATGCCTCCCAAACCGAACGAAGAGCCGTGTACGTCCAGATCCGGCTCAGTCCAAAAGGAATTTGAAGATTTTCAAAAAATCCGGAAATTCATCAAAAAAAAGCTTTTTAATGAGGTCAGGGTCAATCAGAGTCTAGACCTTGCCCTGGGCTACAGTAATCCAGCTCCGTTACCGAACCCGGAATTCATTACTCATAAAATCACCATGATTTGCTGAATGCGTGCGTGGGAGGAAATGAGGTACCGCTTAGCCCGCCCTGCTAATCCGGTTTCTGTTTCATTGAGAACCGCAAATAAGGAAAAATGCAATGGAAAAGAAAATGCAAAAATGACTACGTGAGAATGGATACCGTATTTTTTAGGAATCTCGAGGTGTAGGGTGTAGGAGATTAAGAAATCAGGGGGTGGAGGGGGATCATGAATAACCTGAAAATAGCGTAGCTTTGGTAGGGCTTCACTAGATTTTGCGGGTGAGCAAAAAATGAGCCTGAGCATGAGCATTGGCTACAGTATTACTAGGTTTGTAGTTTTAAGGAAACCGCTGATGGAATTGAATTTTGCAGGAGTTTTAAAGGGGCAGGTCTGGCTTGGCTGTAAAGTTTCTTCTAACACTTCTGCTACTCTCTAGCACTCTCGCTCTCTCGCACTCGCACTCTCTTTCTCTTACTCTCTATTTGTCTCTCTCTCTATCATTCTCTCGCTCCGCTACAATCAGAAATTTTGATGCACAATCGGAACTCTGGAAAATTGGAAAAAAATTGATTGTTTAGCCTACAAAACCCGCCCGGAGTAATACGTACTCCCCACGGCTACAGTACCTCTCCCCCATACCGAACACGAATTCCCGGATGATGCAAATTTGCATGAATCGGAGCCAGGAATGGGCCGGAAATTCGGAAATTGGCCCACATGCCGGGCACGGGTCGCCCGGTTCTCTGGGTTCGGATTTGGGGGTGGGGAGTTTTGCGGGAATCTCCATCCCTCCACCTACACCGCGCTTGAGGCCCCGGGAAGGGGGATTTTCGATTATGAATTCAGAGAAGCTGAGGAGTTGCTTTTTTAGGGCTGGGAGACATGAGGGCTTGGGAGTGATCGGACCCTGAAAAGGACAGTTGGAAAAGACCGCTCAAAATACTAATCGAAGACATTTGCTTGGAAAAATTATAAGCCTTTTTGTTGTAAAAAAATCATAAACTAGCCATAATGGCGAAAAACAACGGGGTAGCAAAAAAGCTTGCTGGCCATCCCGCTAAACCAAACTCATCTACAAAAAGCAATGGAAAATTTAGAATCTAAGCCGATTTAGGCAACAAATAAACTTTTATGCTAACAATGTAAATTGAACTCATATAAATAAATTTTCTAAAACAAAAAACCATGCTGCCACGTTCGCCCTTTTATATAGTCATAAAATTGTAGTACGTGCATTCGGCCCTATTTTTGAAGATCGCCGCCTAGACAGGCTCACAGCTGATGTAGATTCCTGCAGAAACCCGTATGAAAAATTTACCGAAATGACCACGAGGGGCTGGGGGTGGATGTTCTTAAAATGTTGCAGAACAAATCGAGCTCAATTAATTGATGGTGGGAACCGAACGGCTAGTGGTAAATAACAGCTGGGAGAAAATTTTTTTAGGGTGTTCTGAACGTTTCTGATTTGCGGAACTGGGCAAGCTGGCAGAGTTCTTTAAAATTCCAAAAAAGTGATTCCAGAATTCCAGATTCTAGTCGGATATCCAGTCCTACCAAACTGGCGCCAAAGTCTAAAAATAGCCCAGCAATTCCCGAAAAAATTCAGCACCTCATTCGACGCCACCACCAACCAGCCGGTCGCGCTCACGACTGCACAATAAACGCCCCGCCCGGTTGGTCGCGGTCGTAAAAAGTGACGCCAAGGAATTTCGAGGTATTGCAAAAAGACATGAAGAAGCTGATGACAAAGTAATTAAAAAAAATAGTTATATGAATTTTAAGCTGTTTGAATTATTTGTAAGTTGAGCTTTGTTCTGATAAATATTTTCAAAGTGCGGGGAGAGTGCTAGAGTGAGAGAATCTAAAGAGATTTAAAAAAGGTAGAATTAGTCGTAAAAAAAGGAACTTTCGCAGCCCAATTTTTCATACGTGGGTGTAAAGTGTACACGTAACGCTGACCACAAACTTTTTCTTTCTTTGCATTTTCGCAGATTTTGCACAAAATCCGCAGCATCATGTCATACATTTTTGTCGCATGGTGACAAGGATGGCGCCCAATCGGGTTGACGTAATTTTGCAAAAACCCACGATGTTTCTTGCTTTTTATTTGCCGATTCGTGGTGTCCGCTTTCCGCGTAATTTTGCAAAAATTCGAGAAGTGTCCGGAAATTGGTGATGTCTGGGGGAGCATCGTACTCTTCGGAGACGTGAAAAAGCCGCAAAAAATGAAAAGCTTGAAAAGCCGATTTACGGTTGGCGGTCACGATTTCGAAAATCACGATTTCAAATTTAATTATTTACCAGGGTTGAAAAGCCGCTTCGCGACTTTTCAATCCTGGCCCCGTCTAATCCTATGATGTTCTTTATTTTGCATAATTTTGCCTCAATCACGATGACAAAAAAATGAAAAACGCTCCCTTTGGGCCTTTATATAGGATACTGCAACTTCCGGCGTATGCTAATTTTCTCCTAACAAAGTGGGTGGCCGAATTTTTACGAAAAACTTAATTTTAATGTCGAAAACAACATATTTTACAAAATATGATATGTGTGCAGTCATCGTCAGTCCATTGCGCATCTAATGACGTATCAAACACCTCCTTAAACCCATCCCCTCTTGAGATATCCTCCGGACACGCTGACGGAAGTTGCATGCAAAGTGTCATACACACACACACACACAGACACTATTTTTTTATATATTTATTTATTAAACCACCAGGGTTGAAAAGCCGCTTCGCGACTTTTCAACCCTGGCCCCGTCTTGAACCGCATGCTGTTCTACGCTTTGCATAATTGCGCTGAATTGAAATGACAAAAAATGAAAAGGTTTGCTTGTGACCCTTTATATAGACGCCTCCCCACTTCCGGTCAATGCTAATTTTTCCTAGCAAAGAGGGTTTTACAAAAACTTAAATTTAATATCGAAAATGGCTGATTTTTATAAATCTGATATGTGGGCAGTCATCCCTAGACCATTACGCATCTAATGACATATCGTACCCACACCCCTAACTTCTTCCCCTATGGAGATACTACTGGAACAACGATACGGAAGTGGATGCAAAGTGGCACAGACACACATACACTACTTTTTTATATATAGTAGGACTACTTTTTTATATATACATTTCATTCTTTCAAATTTCAAATTTCAAAAATTAGCATTTCGAAAATCAGCATTTGGGAAACGCAAGATTTAGCAATAGTCCATTTCCCAGTCGTAGAAAAAATGTTTTAGTTGGCTGGTTTGAGGTTGGGGGGTTCATTTTTCCACTGGAGATATGATTAATTTCATTATAGACACCACAAAAACAATTGCTATTACATCACTAGCCATATCCGAGTAAAATCGTGGTTTTTCGAAATCGTGATTTTCGAAATCGTGACTGGGAATCCGTTTTACAATATCTTTTGTTGTCAAAGCGCAAAAAAGCCAAAAATCTTAATGAGTTATGATCGTCCGGAAAGAGAAGATAATAAGCGTCATTTCGCGTTGGTCGTCGGCCACTCCCGAATTGACGGCGCTTCAGAATTACGGCTGTCTCTGGGCAGTGAGAGGCATTTGGAAGTGATGGGATGATGTCGAGGTGCATTCATCGGTTGGCCAGATGTCTAAAATTATCCTGAATATGGCGCGCCCACCCCTCCTGGAAAAGAGCACTTTTTAGGGGGTTGTGGTGACCAAATTAGGGAAGGGTGAATTGGGTGATAGGCCCAGGGGGATGTTGAATACATTCTATGAGGCGGATGGGTTGTTTTCGAGGAAATTGGCCGGGGAATTCGGGTGTGTTTGGGTCAATTTTGACCTTATCTAGCGCTTTTTTGGGAGAGCAACAAACACTTTAGGGGGTAAAGAGGATGCGGTTGGATAATAAAAGGGCCTTAGCCGGGCCATTCTCGCTCTCCGTCTCTCTCGCTCCCTCTCTCTCTCGCTCTCACTCTCTCTCTCTCCCTCTCTATCACTCTCTCTCTCCCTCTCTATCGCACCCATCTCTCACGCTCGCTCTCTCTAGCTCTCTCTCTACTCTCTCTCTCTCTCTCTCTCTTTCTCTCTCGCTTTCTCTCTATCTCACGCTTCCCTCTCTCGCTCTCTCTCTCTCTGTCTTCTCTCTCCTCTCTACCCTCTCTCTGCTCTCTCTCCATCTCTCTCCCTTTCTCACTTACTTTCAATTTTATCCAAAACTTTCGGGCCACTAATCACACTAGAGGCAAACCCGTAAAAATCACTTTTCTTTGAACCTATCCTCAGCATCGAAAACCTAAAATACCGGATTTTCAGAACGTAACTGATTCCTACCTTTGATTTGGCACACTGCCAACATAGGAAAAAGGTACGGTAACGCCGTGTAAACAGTAGTTCCGCACTTCGTGTTTCCCATGCATATGGGCAAAGAAAACGGCGATTCTTGGCTTTTTAAGGTGCGGTGGTAATGAGAGGATCCTGGAACAAAACGGCTTAGAAGCCTAAGCCTAAACAAGACCTAGTTGCCTAAGCCCAGCCCAAGCCTAAGCCTAAGCCTAAGCCTAAGCCTAAGCTTAAGCCTAAGCCTAAGCCTAAGCCTAAGCCTAAGCTTAAGCCTAAGCCTAAGCCTAAGCCTAAGCCTAAGCCTAAGCCTAAGCCCAAACCTAAGCCTCAGTCTAAGCCTAGAACTCAATACCACTTACCAATCGCCAAGCAACTCCCTTATCTTCACCATCCTCACCCCCTCGCTTTGGTGCACGTTAATTAAAATAGGTAAGTTAAAATCAGCTATTAAATCCAGTTGTCGCTTCAGCCAGGATACCGTGGATCTTATCTAAAACGTCAAGGTTCTCGATTTCGGTCTAGTAACTTAATCTACCCTCCATTTTTCTGCCCAAGCAAAGGTGATGTTCCGCTCGTAATCCAGAGCGTTGTTGAGTTGTAAAACGTAAGCGCAGTTTTTGCCTAAAAACGTCTCAATTGTATTTAATTTCAAAATTAATTTTTGACGTTTAAATTTAATTTTTTTTTGTGATTTTGAAACACTTAAAGATCAAAATTACTAGTCAACGCACCAGTAAGACTACAAACGCGTTTCGAGTATGCAAATGTCCCTTCATGAACCATTTTCTCGTCTATCGTATAATCCACGTCGAGAGAGTGATTTTTCGCGTATTTTATATACCTAAAAATCGTTAAAAAATATTGAGATTTGAGGACCAATCCATCATATTGTCAACACAATAATTGGCAAAGCAGTCATCGACGTTATTCTGGCAATCATGATTTCCTAGCCCGGCGAGGATCGGAATCGGGAATTTCGTCATCCAGCCTTTCTGAAAAGGGAAAAGGCTTAGGCTTAAGCTTGGATTCGGTCTAGGCCTCGGCTTCGGCTTAGGCTTAGGTTTAGGCTTAAGCTTGGGACGTCAGGTCGTGAAAGATCTGTTCAAGTGCAAATTTCTCATCACCAATTGGCTTTCCTGTTCTAGTTTTTCAGGCTTCGCAACTTCTCCCTCCTGCCACGTCGTAAATCCCGAGTTTGCGCCAATTTTTAACACCCCGAACGGCCTTCACACCACCATCCCCTGACAATAACTGGTGCTCCGCAGCCAGATGTTGCTCATTAGGAAAAATCGGGAGAGAGAAAGAGAGAGAGCGAGAGAGAGAAACGGAACTCATCCTTCCCGTCCGGCAGATCGGATTCCATGATTTACGCAGCGCGAAATTCCGCCCCCGTCGGGTTGGTCAGAAGATAGATGAGTGGCAGACAAGGTCACACCCTCAAGGGGCAGGGAGGAGGGAGGGAATTGGGCATGGCCACCATTTCTAGTCCGTTTCCGAGACAGCCAGACTCATTTGTAAGCCGTCTCATTCTCATGCTCACTCTCATGCTCATTTCATTCTCAAGTTTTGCTCGGTTTTTCAAAATTAAAATTACGAATTTTCAAAATTTCATGGCTTTGCAGCGCTCGCCACACGCCACGCGCGCTGCCTAAAAGAGCGAGCAAAGCTGAGCTACGGATTTCTTGTAGATAGTTCAAACTAGGTTTACTTAAATAAAAATGTCATCTGCAAACCGTTTACGACATGCAATTCAGCGATCCAAGCACTTTTAATTGCTTTAAAAACACCTTTAGATAGCTTAAATCTGTATTTTTGGAGGAGTAAATTAGGATAGGTAATTCGAGAGATTTAAGCAATGTTAATTGCCTTAAAAGGCCTCTAGATACCTCAAAATCCCAATATTTTTTAGATGAATCGATTATGATGTGTAAATCAAGAGATTCAGCATTATATATTTTTTTAAATACTGCAAAATGCCTCAAAATATGAAAATATTTTACGATAAATCGGTAAGGCATGTAATTCGAGACATACAAAGTACTTTTTGATACCCTAAATCTAGATAATTTGTAATCCTCCCGATTTTCTGTAATCACTCTGCCAAAACTCTACCCCAGCCATAACCATAAAGATATCCACGCCCATCTAGAGAGAGTCGAACACTGCTCAAAAAATGGCCTGGATACAAGGTCATATCGGGCCTATACCAAACCAACCCCCAAGGTTTATCCATTCCGCACACCTCTTATTTTCAGTCACTACCCCCCAGTCAATTGGCCTTTCAATCTGTCGGCCCCAGGCTGGTCATTTTTTAGGAGGCGACAGGCCCCCATAATATGCGCCCCATAGATCCTTCAAAGTCATGGTCATTGGGGTGGAGGAATTTGACAAAAACAGACGGTAATGGACTGCCATTTTGAAATCTTGAATCTGCACGAATTACTTGGCAGCCGGTTTTAAAGGTGCTGGAAGGCAGATTTTCAGCTCAAAAAACACTACCATAGCTCCTTAACATATTGCAGCTATAAAAAGTCGGTTTTAAAGGGGGCATTGAAGACAGTATCTACGCAACACGGTGTTACAAACTGCACAAAAAAATTAGTTAACACTTTAAAAACCATTTTAAGGGGACTAGGAAAACCCGTTTTGATAAATATAATAGGTTCTTATCCAAATAGTTTTCGACACATATTTTAAAGTATTTGTAAGCAGTAATTTCCCTATATGCAGTGACCTCTCCTTACCACAAATTCGTCCAGCTGCGGCTTGTGCCCAAAATTCGTCAGATCCCCGTTGATGATCAGTGCCGAGGGCTCGTAGGGGAATGCTAAAATTTAACCTTTTACGTTAAAATGTTAATTTTCTGTTTCCTTCAGTAGTCAACATTGGCTGGCATGGCTCTCGGTAGGAAGCCATGAAAAATGAGCTCCAGTCGCGCGCAGCATGGTACTAATCTGCATATTTTTGCATATGGCGGCTCAACCTTGAACAATTGACTCGCTGGCCTTGAAAACAGCAAGGAGTCAATTTTTAATGCAAAATTTCCTTAGGATTATTAGTTTGGAGGCAAAACTTACACCTAATCAATTTTTCCAACGAATTTCTCTGGATCTTGTTAGCGAAACGGCTCTCCACTTTTATCGCCTCATCCTGGGCTTCGGTCCAATTCGTCAGGATCGGGGGTAGTGGGCGGAGGAACTGAAAATCCAGATTTATCGTTTAAAAGTTGCTTGGAATTTTTTCCAATAAAAATACAATTTTGTTTGGCCTAGATTAACTCGTTTTCTTTGGACCTCAGTCTCCAACGAAAAAGTGAAACTCGAGATAAAAAGGATGTTCCCCGCTATCACTTTTCCCTTCCGGATCAAAGAAAAAGAGTTTCATTCTAGTATCTGAGTGATTTCCCCATCACGCACAGTGACCCAAGATAAGTTTTTCCCCATTAGATCACTACTTGCTCTTACCTTGTTTTGTCTTTTACTTTGAATAACGTCTACCAAGCCAAAAAGACTCACATAATCCAGTCTAAAGTTTTTCCTTATCGGCTGGCTAGCCGCCTTGCATTCGAGATTCGTCATTTCACAAGGGTAGTGGTACTGTGGATCGCCCATAATTAGGAGAACGAGCTCATCTTTCGTAGGCACAGCATCGTTTTCTAAAAAAAAATATTAATACTAAAAATATATTCCTTGATTGTAAGAAGCATATAGTTTTTTAAAGAGACCGGCAAGTCTGTGGTCAGGCGGTTAACCTCAATAACTCGCATCTTGAACAATATTTACCGCTTAAAGCGCACGTTCAGGGGGGGGGGGGTTTTTCTTCCCACCTGGGGACCCCCCGGGGGGGGGGGGGGGGGCGCGCGGCCGGGCCGGGGGGGGGCAGCCCCCTTCCCCTCTGGGGGGGGCCCCGTTTCGGTTGGGGGGGGGGCCGCGGGGGGGGCGAAACCCAAGATTTTTTTCCCAAAAGGGCCCCGGACGGGCCCCCTTAAAGGTGAAACCACCAAGTTACCAGCTACAAAATTTTAGCGATATTTGAGCAATCTTTGGCTAATTTTTGACTTCCTGGCAAAAATAGAAGCATTTAAAAAATCTGACCTGTCAAATGAAACCTTCCAGCTTCCGAAAAAGTAATAAATATTAAGAATATTATGAATAACATCGTAAGAAAACCAGTAATAATATTATTATGATGTCGCCCGGCTCGTTTTCGGGCCAGCTGTTAGTGGATTGTAGGTGTGTGCGGGTGATTTCCCCGGGGGCAGTCAGCCTGGTCCAGTTTTCTAAACAATGCCCCAGCGGGTGGCGGGTGCTTTCTCCGGGAGTCGATGGCAGCCGATTTCCGGGTGGTTTTTGTATATCATGGGGTTGTCGTTCCGGAGAGAAATGAGCGAAAAATTAAAAAATATAATTCACACCAAAAAGCCAAATAAAATGAAAAACTTGCCCTAAAAATGTTCACATTTAAAAAAATATAAATTAAAAAAAAAATGTCTCAGTCTTCAGACTCCCTTGAAATGGTTAAATAGTATTTAAAAAAACGCAAAAATCTTATCTACGAACACCAGCAAAAAAACGTAGTTTAAAAAGTTAGAAATCAATTTACATGAGTCTAAACGAGTTCCAAATTGTCTTGAAAGTGTGGAAATCACCAAAAATTAACTAAAAATGTTACGCTCGTTTGAGGCGTTTTATTCACGCTCAGAAATTTTATACACCTAATTTTTTTGCAATAATTAGCTTATTTTTGCGCTATTTGAATCCCCTGTAGGTTTTCGATCAAACTTTCCTCCTCCCCCACCGGGTGCAAATCGAAATGACTCGCCCCTCCTAACCGCAGTCGTCGAAATTTATGCCCGAACCTCGGGAGATGATCAAAGTGTTCCGCCCCAACATGTCTTCCCCCCAGCTGCCTAGTCATAAATTTGAATAGACTGCTACGGGAGGAAGGAGATGAAGAAGAACAAGTGGGCGGATATGTGCTGTGGCTTGATCTATTTCTCTCGCTCTCTCTCTCTCTCCTCTCTCTCTCTCCCTCTCTCGTTGTTTTCAGCGCAAATGAGGATCAGATGGGCATGCTCCCAGCAATTTCCGGGTGGGGAAAGCGAAGCTTCTAAGCCAAGTAACCAAGCAACCTAAGCCAAACCTAATCCTAATCTTATGCTAGGCTACTCCTCCATCAACCCGTTAAAAGTAGAGCATTCCCACGGCCTGCAATTTATCGTTCTTTTTTTGGGGATTTGAGGATCGGTGAGAATGGCCGTAGTTGGGGGAGGTGTTCTAGGTCAAACCGTTATTTCGGTGAACCCCTCGAAAAAAGTGGCAATCCAGGCCATATGTCATCTCCCGCCGGGTGTCACTGGATCCCGGCATTTCACACATAACCTCTGAAAAAAGGAATTTCCCAAAAGCCCCGGTCCACCTCAAAAACTCGTCGTCCTTAATTAAGGATTTCTAATTCGGCTACACTTTACTTTTCCCAAAAGTTTCCTTTACTTTTACTTCCCAAACTTTACCAAGCAAAAGTTTAATTGGCTATAATTTTTTTTTTTATAAAAAATTTTTTTTTTATAATAAAAAAAAAATTGGGGGGGGGGGGAAAAATATTTTTAAAAAAAAAAAAAAAAAAAGGAAAATAGTATGGGCCCGGAATTCCTCAAAAATCGGAAACCCATTCCTTAACCAAACTCTCGCGATGCGGGCAAGCGCGCGTATTTTTCGGGAGTTTCCATCCGCTGGCGGGAACCATTCTTTGGGCGCGTTTTCCACATTTGTTCCTCATTTTTCGAATGGGTTTTTGTGGTTGGTTGGTATGGGGGTGGGGGAATGGCAGCGAACATGTGTCTTCCCCCCAATACCTTTCAGCTCCCCGGCATCCCGATTTTCCCCGATTTTGACGCCTTTCTTTGCATTTCTCGCGTATGCCGACATACCCGGTCTCGGGAAAGGGATCTTTTCGATAATGTTAGTAGTTTTTGTCTGGTTTTAAGCGGAGATTTGCTGCTTTTGTTATTAAGACAGCAAATTCCTGTATTAGACTACCCTCTCGCTTTCTCTCTCTCTCTCTCTTTCTCTCGCTCTCTTGCCCTGACAATCCTTTTAATCCTCTCGATTACCCGCAACTTCTCACCCCCCCACACTGACTTTCCCATCGGTAATTACCAAGTAACCGTATTGCCTTGTTGGCGGGGCCGTGGGGAAGGTCAACTTTTTGTCAAGGAGCACGAGCCGACAGGCGTAAATCCCCAGTGGAAAAGTAGCAGTAAACGGGAGTGGTGTCCCATGTGATTTTCCGTACTTTACAGGTCCGCGAGAACCCCATACCATAAGACTTCTTGGCCCGAGCCCGACCCCAAGACGAAGCCGTGTTCCAAGCTCAAACGAGAGCCTAAGCCGAAACCGAAGCCTAAGGCTAAAGTTATGCTTAAGCCGAAGACCAAGTCTACGCACCCCAAGCCCTTGCGATTAAGAATTTTTTATTTAAGTTTCTCTGTCGCTGCTTCTCTCTCTCCCCCCCCCTCTCTCTCTCTCTCTCTCTCTCTCTTCCCGCTCACTACGTTTACAATACTCCGTAGTTAATTTCGCCTCAATAAAGTGACCTTCCCACCCTACTTCCCAATCTACTGTAATGATCAAAGACTCCTACCCGCCTTGCCATTGTGCCACTCAACTTTTTCCACAGCTTCACACCCCCTTCCGACTGTCCATCTCTCACAGTTATTGAATAGCGCTCCCCAGGCAAAGATGACCCCGATACGAAAACGAAACTTCAGAGGTGGTGCTCAAGTGGCCAGCCTCCCCTTTCAATATTCACTGTCCCCACGGCGTCGCTCAAACATAACATGCCTTGTCAACGGTTTTCGCCACTTGAGGTGTGGCTTCACTTTTTCGGCTCCTGGGGGTCAGGGGCTAGTGAAAATCGGCTTTTCGGGCTTAACATTTGCGTTTGCGCGTTAATGGAGCATAAATAGACATCGGAAATTATTTATTTTGGACTATTTTGTGAATTTTCAGATTTGGAAACTGGCCGATCCCGGTGATGCTCGAATCCTAAGCCTAAGCCTAAACCCAACTCAAGCCTAAGCCTAAGGCTAAGCCCTGGAAAACCTGCCGAGCCCGGTGTTCTTCGAAGCCTAGGCCCAAGCTTAAGCCTAGGCTCAGGCCCCGGCCTAAGGGAAGCCTAAGCGAAGCCTAAGCGAAGCCTAAGTGAAGCCTAAGCGTAGCCTATGTGAAGCCTAATTCTAAAACCAAGCCGAAGCATACGCCCAAGCCTAAGCCTAAGCCTCAACCTAAGTCTATGCCTATGCCTAAGCCTAGCCACTAAAACCTAAGGTAACCATAATTCCATTACGTTTCAATTTACGCACCGGAAACTGACCCCCATCTGCCCCGTTCAGTTGCTTCCTCTTATTTGTATTGACCAGGTGACCGTGGGGGTAGTGAGGTGTGAGCTTCCGCGGCATTGTGTACGGTTCGCCTTGAAGACCATGGAGACGCCCCGTTAAAGCGCCTCTTCCGAAACCGAAGCGCGGCGTCCACTGTCTGAAGCTTCACCACCCCCAAAAAGCCGCTAAACCTTCTCGCGGGTTCGGCGCTACCGCCCTGAAAGGCTAATAGGGTAGAGGAACTGGGTTCGGCTTTCACCCCTTTTGCCTAAAGAATGCCTTTCGCTACCGTCACTCCCCCGAAAAACTATGCCCATTATTTCGGGGTGGCATCGTTTTTGCCACGGTTTCTTGATGCTTATCCGGAGTCTTTGGAATGTGCAAATGGCCTTTGCTAGTTTGCCGTTGCTTTCTGACGTACAAGGAAACCTCGTTATCCATTATTAAGGACAACGGGCTTTCGAATTCCTAAGTCCTTAAATTTCCCATGATTTTCTTTCTCCCCCCCCCCCAATTTTTGACATGGCTCGCACCCAATAAAGTGGTTTCCATTTTTCGCCGTTTTGCCATCCTTCAAGCGCCCCTGCTAGCACCCGCTTAAATTCTTACAGACTTTCTGCGCATTTTGCTCAATTTCTCCAAGGTTTTTGCTAGTAGGTCTAGTAGAGCTCCTCGGGAAACGACTAAAAATTTGGATTTCTTGAGCTTCGGGTCCCTCAAGCTCTCTAATTCCTTGGTTACTTCTCTCTCGCAGTCTACAGTCGGTATAGTCTCTCTTTCCCTCTCTCCCACTCTCTCGCTCTCACCCTGGCTCACTTTCTCTCTTTCTCTCTTCTCTCTCTCTCCCTCCCTCTCTCTTTCTGTTCTCTCTCTCCTCTTTTCACTCCCTCTCTGTCATCCTCTGATCTATCTCTCCCCCTTTCTCTATCTCTCTTTCTCTCATTCTTTCTCTCTCTTACTCTCGCTCTCTCATTCCCTAACTTCGAAAGCTATTATGCTTGATTCAATTCAAATTCAATTCGCGCTCACTGACTTGTAAATATTTTTAAATCCCAGATTCAGATATCTTTTGATTTGGAAACTCCCAAATTTCCGTCGGAATCTCGTCTAGCGTGGCTCAATTTACCTAAAACAGCATTTCCTAGCGCTCTGAACGCACAAAACCAAATTTTTCGGCTTTTGTGCCCCGAGGCTACCTAATCATCCGGTATCCAAAAGTGGCCACAATTTTCCGGTGTATTCGACGTTGTGCCTTTTTTCACCTTTTGTGTGAATGATGGTAGGGGTCTCTCCCTCTGTATCTCTCTATCTCTCTTTCTCTTTCTCTCTCTCACGCCCTACTCTCCCTCTCTCTTTCGGTGTGTGTATGTGTATGTGTATGTGGCTGGGTGGTCCTGGAGGGGTAGTGTGAATGCCTGAAAATCCAGTCCTCGTCTCCAACAGTCAGCCCTTCTGAGACTACTCCCCCCTTGGCGACCGTGTTTTCGAGGGCCCACCCCCGCTAAGAGAGGGCCCAAAGGCCAAGTGGCCCTTCTATCCCCACTCTCACTTCCACATCTAGCTAGACTGGTCTTAATCCACCACTCATATCATTTCCTTCCATTGGCCTAAGATTATTTCCTAGTTTATGCAATCGCTAAAGTTTCCGGATCCTAACGTCAAGTTTCTCGGCGAATCGAGGATTTTTTGCTTCTGAGGAAACATCGGTACAATTAAAAGCAATTAGATTCAGAAACGCGGTTTTGCAATTTAAAAACCTGAGGTTTTAGATTCAAAATCCTCTTTTTTTGCGTATCATAGCTTCAAATTTACCATTTTGCGTTTTTGAAATGTGCGATGACCAGAAAAACCATAAAGTTTATAAACATCATCGAGAACACCCCGTTTCCGAGCGAAATTACGCAAGTAAAGCTAAAATGACGCACGCAAAAAGATGAATTTATTTGTAGATTCAAACGAAGTTGGATCAATAGTAGTAAATTACCAAAAGCGGAACCTAGACCCCCAGAAAACGCCACGCTTTCTTGACTCACCGCCCCCGAGGCGTGCGCAAACCTAGCGTAAACTGCTAGGATCAACATAGGGCCGTTTTGGAACGCGTCGCTAACCCCCAAAACTCCCTTGAGAGACACCTAAAGAGGCTCGCAAAAGTTCAGCTCTTCGAGCTCGAATGTTCGTCTGTGTTCTAGCAGGGCTTTAAGGATACTAGCAGGGATTCTTTGCACTTCAGGATTTTCTGAACATTGTTGACAAGCGCTCCCTCTCTCCCTCTCTTTCTCTCTCGCCAGTTCTCACCCCCGGTCATTCTCTGCTTATACTAGGTTGAGGGTGTTCGAGTGGGGCCAGGAGAGGAGTAGGGCTTCAGTTTTCTCAGTTTTTCTCTAGTTGGAGTTTTGCGGGTCTTTTGAACTGTTTGTTGAGCTCGAGGCGTCATAAGCATCTCCAGAATTCGTTCTCTACGTTTTTATAGTTGGTTTTATAGTTTTGCTATGTGGTGTAGCGGTAATAAACACAGTTCTACTAGGGTTTTCCTGTTTTTTTGCAGTGCATTGATGATACCGAGCATTACTTCAGATTCTAGCTTTTCCTTTGAAAGTTTCCCCATCCAAACGAAGCTTCTTATCTCTTCGAAACCCCTTGAACCACCACCCCTCGACCAATGTCCCCCACTTGACGTGGTGCCCCCCGCACCCAGGATGGAAACATGTTTGTCCTGTCGTGTAGCTTGCCGAAGCTTTCATACCCTGTTAGATGTCCCAGGCTTGACCATAGAATCTTTCTCATATTCTTGGATTGAACGTAACCCTGGGTTGGAATTCGCTCTGTTTCTTATGGTAGTTTCTAAGAATTTGTCTCTGATCGTCTAAATCACGCTCATTTTCCAACGCTAAATATTTTTAAAAACGCCCTTTGTGTTTTTTTTTGGAAAAAATGAAGGGGGAAAAAAAAAGGTAAAGGGGGGTGGGAAAAAAAAAAGGAAAAGGGGAGGGGGTTTTAAAAAATTTTAAAAAAGTGAGGAGGAAGGGGGGAGGTGTTTATTTTTTAAGGGTTTTTTTAGGTGATTAAAAGGGTTTTTGTGTGTGGGGTTTTTTAAAATTTTTTTTTTAAGGGGTTTTTTTTTGTAATGGGTGAAAATGTTAGTGTAAAAAAAAAAGGAGTGAATTAGTTTTTTTACATACTACCCCTGCCGAAGGAAATCTATTCGAGACCCTATTATTGCGCAGATGCAGGGTGCCCGGCTTTGCTACCCTTGTTTTTCGGTTGAATAATGCATCCCTCAAACCTCCAAATGATGAGTGGATCCCGTGATCGGGGCTTGAGAAGTTTACCTCCTCGGTGTTCACATCGTGGATAGCATTAATGGAAATTTTTTCCGAAACACCTCGGACTTCCCAGTCCCTTTAAAATTCGGGTTTTTGCAAAAAAATTGACATCATATATGAGCAGACCATCAAAATCGCATCATGCTCTAGCTTTCTAGCTTTATTAATGCGTTGTCTTCTGCAGTTTTCAGCTAAATCCCGTTTTTCCAGTTCCTTTAAAATCCGCCTCTTTCGAAAAAATGAGACCTTATCGTCTATCGGCAAAAGCCCAAAATATCCACAAAAAAATCACGCTTACCTTGTCTTTTATACCAAGTGATGTTTAGCGTATAATGACATTTTTAACGCGAACTTCCATACTTCAATCCTTCACTTTCGCAAAAAAGTGACCTCATCGGCGATCATAACGTATTGGGAACAGAAGCCGGCTACTATGCGTGATTTTGGCGCACTAATGAGGTTTTTCGGGCTGATTTCCAGACTTCCCAGTCTCTTTAAAATCATGCAATTTTGTCGAAAGTGACCTCATCGGCGATCACATCATAATTGCCACTACTATGCGTGATGCCACTGCGATCCGGATTGATATCCATGCGCCCGGGCCCCCCAATCGACTCCCAATACCCCCCGGATCGCGAATATTTGCGCACTTTTTTGGCGGCCGCCTGAGTGTCAATAGGAGTGTGTACGGGGGGGGGTATCTTCTATCCATGCCGCCCTCTAGTCTTCTTCTTCAATCCCGTGAGTGAGATGCCATCCAATCGAGCTCTTTGAACCTCTTTATTGTTGATCCGGGGAGGAGGCTTCATCCCAACTCATCCACCCCCAATTCTTCTGATTCACGGGTTCTTGAGTGGGGGTCCTTTCTAGTCCTGTAGACCAACAGTTCCACTGGGTCGAGTATCGTGATATTTCATTTGATCTTATGATTAGTGAGGAAATCGGGGTGATATATTTTATCTTAAAGGCACTAAGAAGTCGGAAATCTGTTGTTCTTTCCCCCGTGATAACCGATACCCTAACCTTAATAACCCTCGCATGCCAAATCGGGTTTTTGTGGCCTACGCTACGCTACAATACGCTGCGCAACTATACGTCACGCTACGCTACGCCCCGATACCTTAAGTTTTATTTCGTTATAAACTTTCCGTGATTATACGTTACCTCACCTTAAACTTCGTTCTGTCACGTTGCATTTTTTTTGCAAAGCGTTACCTTTTTCTTACGCTATGCTACGCTGCATTACGTTACTTTACGCTACGTCACCCTTAGGTTACTCGACTTTGCATTACGTTACCCCACGTTCCGTTACGTTAAATTACGCTAAAGGAGCCGACTCCAACCTTCATATCTCCTATCCGAGCCCTTGTTGACACTATTTGTTCTATATCTAATTGTACAAATTTAAGATTTAGTCACTTTCCCCCATGATCATTTGGCCACATATGGCCATTTCATGGCTTTATTTATTCATTGTTCAAAAATCCGCAGTTTTCTGAATTACCTCAAGTTATCGGCTTACCTCGACTAATATTCATCTTCTGTTGCTTTCCCTTTGATCGATTATACAACTTCTTACCTGCTTCATGGCTATATTTCAGATTTGGCCATTAAACCCCACTGGCCAGGCACCCCCTGCCTACCTCGTACGACCGAGGATGGGGCTCAAGTAAGCAAGTTTTAGAAGTTTGTAGTTTTGGTTTTGCATTTGCTTGTCTCCAGCTTTTGTTAAGAGTTAAAACACGTTACTTTTTAGGGAAAAAGACCGGCTCCAACGGCACTCGTTGGCCATCTCCGAGCACAGCCTTCCCGATCGGTTGACCCAGGCTTTGAAAGCTCTACGACCCGGGAACATCACTCAATCGGCCAGTGGAATGGCTCCATTTAAGAATCATAAGGTTAGTCTCGCGCTCGATATCTCTCTCTCTCTCTCTCTCTCTCTCTCTCTCTCTCTCTCGCTTTCTCTCTCTTATTTTATAAGATTTTTTAGAACAAAATGGGCTCCACCGTCGACGCATCCGATGACGTCGTTTTTATCCAGGGCGACAAGCCGGCGCATCCGATTGGACGATACCAGAAGTCACCACTGATCGTAAGTTATTAAATCTAACTAGAAAGCTTTAAGAATATACCCGTCTAACTTTGAAAAAGTCGAAATGCTAAAAACTTTGAAACAAAAAGTACACCCGTATGCTATGCATTCCTCAAACAAAGTATTGTTTACCAATCGTGAGCGCTGACCGAGCGAACACTTCCCCAAAAATTTTTTGCTCGTATCCAAGGAAAATTTTTTTCGGGAGTTTTCTTATGCGAAAAACACATTCTATGTTTTGCGTGTTCTTTTGAAACCTGTGCTTTATTTTCCCGTCCCAATTTAGCATAGCGTAACATAACATACTTGACATATCGTAGCAAATTGTACCCTAACGTAGCGTAACGTAGCTTAGGAAAACGAAACGGAACGCTACGTAACAGAACGCAGCGCTTTGTAGCGAAATGTACGGTAACGTAACGTACACGCAGCGTAACGTAACGTAAACCTGACGCAATGTGGGATTAAAGTGGCGTAACGGGATGTACCGTTACGTACTGTAACATAGCGTGGCCTAACATAACGAGACGTAACGTAACGTAACACAACGTAGCCTACCGTAGAGAAACGTAGCGTATCCGAGCACGCCGTAATATAGCGTAATGGAACGTAGCGGGAATTAATGTATAAAAAAGGGGTTTTTGGCCCGAAAAAAAAGAAACCCAAAAAAAAAAAAAAAAAAAATATTTTTTTCTCTAATAATCTTTTTCCCGTCCTTATCCCAGTCCCCCAGCTTTTGCCACACCCCGAAGAGCTCGGCACTGACCATGAGTATCCCGCTGCCCTGGTGCCTGGAAAGAATACATATTTCCCGTACATTGGTGCGTGCGAAACAACACAGGGCGACAAGCCTTCCCCTCTGGTCCAAGAAGGACAAGAACCCCCTGAAGAAAGCAGCAAGATGCGCTTGCGCGCCCACTCCACGCGCGCAAACAAGTGCCTCCAGGGGCCCAGGGCGTCCAGGCCACGGATTTTCAGCGGGTCCCACAGCGGTTTTTGGGTCCTAAGGTCTCTGTGGGCCCTAATTCTCGACGATTCTTTCCTGCGCTTCATCTCCTCCTCCCCTTTTTATCAACCCCCCACTCTCTCACTTGGGCCCTAAGAGGGCCAAACCGTCTTCCACAGTGGCCGTTAGAGACCAGCGGATCCCGGCGCGGTTGACCGAGTCCTCGCGATTTGTCCAGAATCGACGACCCCCACAATCGCCCGCGACCCCTCGCCTATGGATGTTTAAGAGTATCAGGGTAATTTTGTTAGAATTTAGGTTAAAGTTTTTGGGAGACTTTTGCTCTCTGCCTCTCTCCCTCTCTATCTTCACTCTCTCCCTGTCCATAGCTCTCTCTCTCGCTCTATCTCTATCCTTTCTCTCACTCTCTCTCGCATTTCTGGCCCACGATTCGACGATTTAATTTGCGTAATCCTAAAGTCGAAAAGTCGATTAATTTCTCCAAGGATCTCTGCTAAACCGCGTAGCAAGTTGCGGACCGCTGCGAATTTTATTCATCCTCAAGGATCTCTGCTAGCCTGCCTTGTGGTTTTTATACATTCTTGCACCTTTAAAAGTTGGCTTAAAACGTAGGTTTAACGTCCCTTTAGAAGCGTAACAAATGAACACGAAACGTAGCGTGAAATAGTCTTTGAGAATTAGAAAAAAAATCGGTAAAATCAATAACTTTACCGATTTTCCTTTATTACCCCTTTTTTTTTAGCAAAAAGCACGCTCCGTACTCGAACGGAATTCCGTGGCCGGCGGATCGCCTCAGCTCTCGGAGCGGAATCCATTCCACGAGCCCGCCCTGAGCAGCTTGGAGCAAGTCCGGAATTTATACAAGAGTGTGCCCAACGTCAATTATGAGTGGTAAGTGCAAGAAACAAGGTTTACAATATACAAATTTAGTGTGACGAGCCCGGAGCCTGTCGAGGAGGACGATGGGTTTTCGTCAACGAGGTAAGCAGGCCAAGATTTGCCGACGTAGTGAAGCGTAGCGTCGTGTAGCCTAATGTATCCTGTTGAGAATTCCAAAGTATCGCCGCGTATCGTAAAGTAGCGTGCAGAGTATCGTAGTGTAGCGTAATGTACCTTATCGTGTACACAATCTACAGGGTGTCCCAAAAAAAAACCCCCCTCGGCATTTGGCCGTCTTCCATCCAATCGGGACCAAATTTTTACCAGTGATGGGGACCCATATAGACTCTGTGCAGCCGAATTTTCTAAGCAAAATATTGTAAAACAAAAAAGATATATCAAAATGAAGGTTTATTTTGCCGATTTCACTAGGATTTTGACGGATTTCGGCCTCGAAATGTTTAGCAAAAATGAAGAGAGCACTCTTTTCTACCTGTAAAAATTTTTTGATTTACGAAAATTACGTTTAAATTGGGCCTTTTGATCACTTTTTATTATCGAAATTGCCAGAAACTGACCGAGAAATGACCATTTTTTGGAAAATTACTCAAAATCGGCATGCTAATTGCGAAAACATAGCCAAAAACGAGTACCAGCGTTTTCCAGAAATCAGTTTTTTAGCGATAATTTTTTGGTTTTACAATATTTTGCTTAGAAAATTTGGCTGCACATAGTTTTTATGGGTCCCCATCACTGGTAAAAATTTGGTCCCGAGCCGATAGAAGACGGCCAAATGCCGAGGGGGGTTTTTTTTGGGACACCCTGTATTATGATTCAATGTTCCAGATCACCAACAGATTCTGGCTACCGGTCGACGCCTCGACTTGATCGGGTCCCTGATCGACCGGACGTGGCTCATTGTAAGCATTTTAAACGCTTTTCAGAGGCATTTTCGGAATTGACTGAATCGGATTGAATCGGAAAAATTGACTGTTTTTAGTGTCAGCCAACTCAAACTCCCTCGGAGCTTCTTCTGGCTCGGGATCCTCTAGAGCCGGCTTCCGATCCAGAGAGGTGGTTTCTGTTACCTCAGAACCGGAAGTAAAGAGTAGTCCAAAGGTAAGGAAAAAGCGATTAAAAAAATATATCCCTGAAAGTTAGAGTAAAATCGCGTAATAACACGATTTTCCAGATTCCTATGCGAAATCAACGGCCCCGAGTTTCTTCCCCTATTTCGAGCCCACCATCTACAGTAGGCTCAAGGCCCGAAAGGTAGGCTTTAGATCAATTTTCGTGGCCTTTTGATTGTTTTAGCAGAAGATTAATTTATTCTGTTTTTGTCTTTTTAGTTGTCGGAGATTTGGCAAAAAACAAGATTTTTAGACAGCAGCCCTACAACCGTAGCCATGTGGACGCCGTTCTCGAATCAAGAAGATGCAAATCATTCGCGAATTACATCGACAAGGCTGTCGTCGCAAGGTGGGGAGCATTAATGAAAACTCTCTCTCTATCTCTCTCTCAATTCCTGATTTTAGACTTCATCAAGTGATGGTCGAGCCCCTCGATGTTCTCACCGAAAATTTGCAAAGACTCGTCGCGTACAGCGTCAAATGTACCGCTCAAGATGTAGCTTCAGCGATTAAGGTACTTTTTAATACCTCCAACTTTAGGTTTAAAACTTCTTGGGAAAGGCTTAGAAATATTCCTACCTACTCCCAATTCCAGATCTCCTTCCCACTCGATCTGTTCGCCAGTTGCTTGAGGTCAGGGCAAAAGGCGGCGTCGGCTTTTTCAAGGAATGGACCAGGTACGTTGCTATACCTTGCTTTATCTGGTTTTACAGTATGTAAAATGTACAGTATGTTTTTACAGTTTGGTACTACAATAACCCGGAATTTATGTTATTGAATTTTTAGGCGCCCTCTCAATGTCCCTAGCCGAGCGAGCAGATCTCTGCTTCCCGGTCGGCCGATTTTACCGTTATTTAATCGAGAAACTGCCCGGGAAACCGATCTCCGAGCATGTAAGTGTAATTATAATAAGAGGCAACTAATAACGTTGGAATTATTAAATAGAATTTGGAAAATGACCCTTTTTTCCAAGGAATGGGAATGGATTAGACTCTTGACAACCTGCCAAGTTTGCATAAAAAAATGCTAGTAGTAAAATCATAAAGAGGCCAAGTAAAAATGAGATTCAGGCAGTCGTCTTCTTTACCGCCGCCGTCCAGTGTATCCTCGAGGAGTTCGTGCTGAGAATCGTCGATTCAGGTGTGCAATTTTGCTTAAAAAGCTCTCAGGTGGTTTTACAACGATTTAAATTCCAGTTTTTTACAAAGTCAGAACCATCTAAAATGTTAGTTTCGCGTTTTTTAGACTCCCCCGAAGTGTTGACCTCCCCCCAGGTTCGAGGAAATCCTGAATTCAAATGGACGCTCCCTAATCCAATATTTCTCCGTCTCGGACTCACTCTCGACGATGAACCTGCCAAGCCCGATCTCTTTTGCGAAGCTGGTGGATGCCGTTCACGCCGTGAGGGATCGGATTTTGCACTCGACGGGAACTGTTAAAAGACGAGCACAGTAAGACAATACATCGAAGTTTCAGAAAGCTTTTTTAGGGTCCAGCTGAGCCGGACCGGGATTCGAAGTCTGCACTATTTTGCGTGCGGTCCCGGCGTTCCACAGTAAGTTAAATTAGCTTTAATTTTTCGATTTGTAGATGTTCTTTTCCTTTTTGCGTTCTAATTTAAATATGGATAAATTTTATTCTTTTCTAGTCAGTCAACCATTCACATTGCCGATTGGGTGCGGTTAATCTACGCTTTTGCCGAGCATAGATTGTCTCCGACGGTTGATGAAGTGGATATCATGCAGGTAAACATCCGAAGCTAAAACCTATGCCTAACTAAGTCTAAGCCTAGACATAAGCCTAAGCCTAAGCCTAAAGCCTAACCCTAGCCTCAACTTTCAGGCTGCCCGTCTCCTGCGTGGTGTCGATTGCCCACCGCCTTCTGCTTCGCTCTGCAGAAGGGAGCTGGCCGCGGATGCGGGACCTCAAGACGCGAAGATGACCTTTGCTTTCGGGTGGGTTTAAGCTCACTAGGAAGAGAAAGACGGGAGAGAGATGGAGACAGAGAGAGAGGGAGAGAGAGGGTGAGAGAGCAAGAACGGGAGAGAGGGAGATAGAGAGCGAGAGGAGAGAGAGCTCTTTCTATCCCCAAAACCCGGATCTTTCAGGTTGATCGCTACAGGTAACGCCGAGAACGTTCGACACGGGATCGCACTGCTTGATGCCGAGCGGAATAACGCCAGGAGTTGCTTTGTAAGTTTTGCTTATCAATCTTAAAGGAGCCCTTAAGACCAAATTAGCTTTAAGGAGTTTTAGCGAAAGGACGAATAAACATAATTTTGAGGCTTGAACTATTGAGTTATTGAATTCTAGGGAATGTGCCCCCTCGCCGAGTCCGTCGTTCAATCAAATTCCGAAGCAACAAGCGCGCTATTAGCTGCCGGATGGCCAACGGACATGGCAATTCCGTCAGTGAAGAATTGTCTTCCCGGATATGCCGGCTGGACGCCTCTAACATGGGCAGTCGCTATTCAGAAGCACAATATGGTCAAAATGCTGTTGAATTCTGATGCGAAGATGGACTGTCCGGAAATGGTGAACGAGACCCCGTTGCAGGTGAGGATATTTCTTTGGCCCTCTCTCTCTCGCTTCCTCTCTCCCCGAATACCTAATTTTTTAGATATCGGTCCAACAAGGATGCCTCGAAAGTGTAAGGCTTCTGCTGGATCGCGGAGCTGATCCGTCTAGGACCTGGAAAGCTGAGCAGACGTTGGATAATCAGTAAGATTTCTCAACATTCAGTGTCATAGTTTAATCGATTTCGCGATGTTGTAGATATTCAATTAATGATCAAAAGAAATTATTTGGGTTACTGTAGAAAATTCAGCATCGGATCGATTTCGCCTGTAGCAGCAGCCGCAATAAGAGGCAATCGAACTGTGCTGACGGCTCTGCTAACAAAAAGTAAGCTTTCCTCTTATCTCTCTCTCTCTCACTCTCTCTCACTCTCTCTCTTCTAAAGTTTGTCACCCGCTAAATGGTGTCATTTTAGTGGGCGAAGCATCCGGATCGTCAAAACACCGAGTCGAAGTCTTGGGACAGCATGATGGCAGCCTGGAAAGCTTGTAAGTCAAAGTAGCTCTTTGGAATTAACCAGCCTTCTTGTAGGTGTGAATACGAGAAGCTGACCGATTCCGGTAAGAAAGCCGTGCGAGAAGCCCTCTACTATGCCGTGGAGACCGAGAAACCGGATGTGGCTGTGTTTCTGAAGTATTTAGGTGAGTGCTTCAACACAAATATTAGCCTAAGCCCAAGCCTAAGCCGAAACCTAAGCCGGAGTTTAATCCTAAGCCTACATTATTCTAATTTTTAGTCGACGGCCTACCTTGGTCGACCTTCATCTGGACAAGAGCCCTCGAATCGTCCCTCCAAAGAACCGACCCCAGGCTCGTCCACGCAATCCTCGCTGATTTCGGCCCAAATATTGCTGCGGATCTGAATGAGGAGAATCTGAATAGAACGCTTGTTGTGGTAAGATCGTTGACCTTTCTTGAAAATAAGTTTTTTAGATCTTAAGAGCTCTCCAGCAAGAATTGTCGTATCCGGATGGGGACGCTAGTCCTGCCGCATTTGCCCTCTCTCGCCTGCATCACTATTTTAAGGAGGATTCAGGAAATGAGCCGGGTAAGGGGACTTGTGCTCTCTCTCTCTCTCTCGCTTTCTATCGCTTAATTTCCAGAAAAATGCACATCGCCCACAATTCCGGTGCACCGGAACATCATTGACCCGAGCTATGTCAACAGCGAGCAGCTGTCGGATATCCGATTCCAGGTAGTGCATGACGAGAACGAAGCTGAACCTAAGCCCAAGCCAAATCCATCAGCCTAAGCCTAGGCCTAAGCCTAGGCCGAAAGATGCTATGTAATTGCAAACTTCCCCCGTTCAGGTCGACGGCAAAATCGTCTACGGCCACCGCATCGTGCTCGTCAACGCTTCTGAAAAGTTCAGAAGCCTACTGCAAAGCCCCGACGGGGTCATCCAGATCTCCGACGTGCCGTTTGCCGTATTTTTGGTTGGTTTTGAGAAGCTGTAAAAACTACATAATTTAGTCCCTGATGGAATTCGTGTACACCGGGCGGCTATCGACACCAAGCCGAGGGCCCGGGCAGTTGTTCCAGATTCTGAAAGCAGCACAGGCCTATGGACTTCCGGGGCTTGAGGTGGGTCAGAGAGCTTGGGCTTTGAGACTTTTCGAGAAGCCTAATTCTAAGACTGAGCCTAAGCGTAAGCCTTAGCCATTACCTAAGCCCAAACCTAAACCCTAGCCTCAGCCTAAGCTTAAGCCTAAGCCTAAGCCTAAGCCTCAGCCAAAGCTTAAGCCTGATTGTAGTAACATCCGCTTTAGACCGAAGTCCTTCGTATCCTCACCCTCTCCGTCGACAACGCAAATTTTGTCGAACTCTACAATTTTGCCATGGTAACTTTGAGCCGATTTTTTTTGTATTCTTCTCAATTTAGCATCACCAAATCGAAGACTTATTAAAGCACTGCGAGAATTATCTATTACTTCACTTACCCACGCTTTGCTCAGGTAAACGAGAATTGGTCATTTTAGAATCCAGATTCAGATCCGAACTTCTCTATCCTGCTCCTCCAACCGCCGCCCAATTATGATGTTTGTTCTGCCATCCGTGAGCGATTATCTACAGGTAAAGTTATGCAAATTTACGGATTTTTCGTTTGGTCCTTTTCGGATTAAAATTTCACAAGCAATCGGGGTTCTGTTGAATTTCGTCCCAGGTCCCGAAATTTTTATATATTGTTGTTTAAATATAGAGACTTAGATTTTTAATTATATTTAAGATGATTTTTTGAGTTCCAATAATTTACTATTCAAACTATATTTTCCAGAATTCATCGAATGCCGCCGCAAATCCGCCAGCGGTTGAAGACTCCAAAGAATGTCGAAATCGCCATTACATCTAATAAAACCTTGAAAAATCGCTCCGGAAACACATTTATTTCAAACACATTTTTCTTTTCACAAGTTGGGAATTGGAGGATATTTGCACAGATGGGCTTCCGTTGCGTGCCGTTGCCGAATTTCATCAAAGATCCAAATTCCTGTACACTTCAAATATACCATTATTGAAGTATAAGCCTAAACCCAAGCGCAGCCTCAGCTTAAGCGCAAGTCCAAACCTAAGCCTAAGCATAAGCCCAAGCTAAGCTTAAGCCCAAGCCGAAGCTCAAGCTAGGCCTAAGCCAAGCCTAAGTTTGAGCCCAGGCATGAAAAAGCTGATTCTCATTCCACTGGTCCCTATTATTCTCTATGGTTTTCTGGCTCTTTATGAGCGCGAGGAGCATGTTTTTGGGGAGCTGAAATTTGCAGTAATGAAGCTCCAATAGTTTTTGTAGTGATTTAGGGTCAAAATGCAACGACGTTAGTAGAGGGGTCTAAAACGAAGATTTACGTCTCCATGGGTGGCACAGACGATCCGTTCTTCATCGATTCATTACCATTGGCCGCGATGGTATGGAATATGCTGCAGGTTGAGGGTAACTTTTGCTTCAAAGTTGTATTTTGTAGCTTGTAGCTTACGGCATGCCGTTTGCTCTTAAAAAGCACTAGGTAATAAACATTTTTGCTTGCCTTTCGACCATTTAATTTATAAAATCCATCTCAGTCCTCATCTGCCTGATCGGTGCTAAAAGTGATTATCAAACCACTACTCTTTCCCCAATTATTCAACTACTTAACGAACTGAACGCTACGATCTCCTACTTACCCGGAAACTACACGCTCAAAAAGGCTACTATGGCTCAGGTGAGAGTTTTCGAAGGCTTTTTGATTTCATTAAAAATCGGGAAACTCTTTTTGATAAGCAGATAGCCAAAGGATCATACCGTACTCAAGAATAGGAATAAAAAATGCTAGAAAATAAATACGTAGCATTTAGCATTGCCGAATCTACGCAGCTCTCTCACCGATGATCTCTGAGAATGAAACTGTAATCTTGTCTGATTCTGACTATCTGCCGTTTCATCTGGAGCAGCATTGCGATGATGGTGTCGATGTAAGTGATTTTAAAGGGATGGTAACACCACAAAACGGTTTGGCTGAAGTCTAAGCCTAAGCCGAAACCCAGTTCAACTTTTTAGCTCTTCCTGTACAATCCGCTATGCTGCGGCCATGAGAAAATGTTCGGGGAGACCTTTCAGCATTTGCCTATCGTAACAGTGGCTGCTAGTAAAAGAAATTGGCTCCAGATTCTAGGTTTTTACGTTTTTTTTATTTAAACGAGAGTTTAGACGGTCATCCAGCCGATTATCACAATGGATCCTCAATTGAAGAAAATGTTATGGTATATTTTGGGAATGAGACTTTCGATAAAAGTGAGTTGAGTATGAAAAAAATTTGATTTCACTCACTTTGGAAACTTGCATAAAATCGAATCAAAGAAGGGATTGCTAGAATTCCTCTACTTTAGTAATTTAGAGTACGAACAGGCCACAAACCTAAACGAGCTTCATCGACTCCCAGCCTGGTATTCCGATCAAAAACTGCTGTCGTTTAGAATATTCGATTGGAAGAGAAGGTGAAATTTCTATTTTTGTAAACAAGTTTTTTATCGATTTTCAGGTCTCGAAGGATTTTCAAAACCGCTGAAAAGCTTGGGACTATCAGAAGGATTGATCGGAATAATTGGCCAAGCGAGGAGACGATAGAAAAGGTGTGAGAGAGAGACAAAGGGAGAGAGACAGACGGAGTGTCCGGAATTAGCATACGATTTTTAGATCAATTTTACTAACTATGACGATTGTCACCTGCCAAGACCGTTATCAACAAATTGGAAGAAAATACAACCATTTTTCAAGAAATTACTACCCGAAAATTTATATGAATTAGCCGAGAACTATGGAATTGAAATGCAAAAGTTGGCAGCTGCTGATTTGACGATCGGAAATCCAAAATCACTGCTATAAATTTTTTATATAATGACTTATCTTATGCTTATACTTAACCTACGACATGCTCCACTCAACCCTCCATGACAATACGCTATTTCTTGGTTCTGGTTCAACATGCGAATCAAGCGATAAAATCTTTCTTGTTTGCAGTTTCAAATAATCTGAAAATTCGCCATATCCTCCACCTTCCAGCCCGGCGATCAATATTCCCGCATTATAGATCTGCAACATTCTCCAGCGCGTTTGAACAGCTCGCACGCATGAGCCTCCTTTGTAGTCCCGTCCCATGTCCAAATCGACTGACCGATGCTAATTATTTTTGCCAGAATTCGTAGTATACACCAAAATCTGTACATTCTCTGCTATCAAAAATCGAAAATTAAGTGACTTAAATGCTACGAGAATTCAGTGTTTTTCTTAAAAAGGTAAGAAAAAAATCCATCCCTTTGTACGGGCATTTTTGAAAAACATAAATTTCTTTCAAATTTGCTTTGTTCAATTCATAATTTTTATTACGCTAGCGAGGCGTGCGAGAGAAATACACAGTGACAGTAACCCCGTAAGAGAGAGAGAGAGAGAGAGAGAGAGAGTGAGAGTGAGAGAGAGAGAAAGGGCGAGAAAGCTGGAGAGAGAGAGCGAGCGAAAGAAAGAAATCTAAGTGAATTAGATATTTCTAAATGTGTCACGTTGCTTCCGAAAAAAACGCTTTTCTGCACCCGGGTTGCTAGGCGGTTCCCACCGCCAGCTTTACGTGGCTGGGGAACAAAAGGAACCTTGACTCCGAAACCATCGACCACTACCTAAATAATCATAAGTCACAGATCTCAGAAAAAAAATGCAACCCGTGGCCACGCCCGAAAAAACGGGTCCTCTCCCAGATCGGATGTCGGCTTTTCAGCTTGCGAATGCTCCGTCTTACATCGTGGTTTTTCTCGCTGGATTTTTTTGCTGTATTTCGATCGTCCAGTACACTGACAATTCAGTGGATACCTTTACGATAACGAAGAAATGGAACGAGTGGGTGCCGAATTCGTTACGACAGGTAAATGTCTTCTCCATTCAAACTCTAGTCAAGGGCCTAAGCCTAATCCAAAGACTAAGCCGAAGCCTAAGCCTAAGCGAAGCCCAAGCCCAATCCAAATCCAAGCCCTAAGCCTGAGCCAAAGCCTAAGCCTAAGCCTAAGCCTAAGCCTAAGCCGAAGCCTAAGCCTAAGCCTAAGCCTAAGCCGAAGCCTAAGCCTAAGCCTATGCCTAAACCTAAGACGACAAGTATTCTGTCACATCACCTTTAAATTTGTTTTCAGGAAGCACCTCCAGATCCGGAAAACGTCACTGTACCACCTCGAATTTTCGCTAGCATGAGCTCGACAGCCGATCCGTTTTTCCTCAACTCCTTGCCAATTGCTGCGATGGCCTGGTTGAGGATAGGAGTGCATCGTAATTTCAGGAATTCTTATTTTATCGATTTCAGCGGTTATTTGCCTGGTGGGCTGGCCGGCCGACTACCAGACAAATATGACCAAGCCGGCAATCGATTTATTGGCCCGGATAGGGGCTAATGTAACGTATTTGACGGGGAATCATACCTTGAAGAAGGCAACGTTGGCGCAGGTATATTATGTGAATTGACTTTTAAGCAAGAGTGAAAGCAAACTCGTACACTTTTGCACTGCAGAAATGTTATGGAAAACAAGGAATTCTTTAAAAAAGCTATGAATAGTTTATATTGTGATACAAATACAAAAACCGTCAGGAACATTGCAGAACATGCGATGAAAATCCTAAAATTTATAGAACGCTAAAAATATATATTTTGATGTTTAAATTTTGAGAAAAAGAAAATTTTAATTTTAGAAAAATTTCTGAAGGCGCTGAAAAATCAAAATCAAAAATAACAAAATGGGTTCAGCTAATGAAAATTTTAAATTTGACTTTGCACTTTAAAGAACTTTTGACTTGAAAAACTTTGAAGATTCGAAAAATTTGTAAAGTTTAATTTCCATTGATTAAATTTTAAATTTAAAAGCTTAAAATTTGTTTTTAGCACTGCCGTTTTCACGCGGCGAACTCAAAACTTGACATGAGGCCCGATGACGTCATCATGTTCTCCGATTCAGATTATCTGCCATTTAAGCTCCAGCGCTACTGGGCTGACGGGATGGATGTAAAAATCTTGTATTTTATGGTTTCTGATTGTTTTAGATGTTTTTCTACAATTCAAAATGTTGCGGGTACGACAATTTGAATGGGCAGCAATTTCCGCACCTCCCCGTGGTTTCGATGGCTTTTAAAGTCAGCGTATTACGGGAGATTTTAGGTAAGTTAATGATTTTTCTACGTTAAGGTTATTTTTGTCATTCAAAGAGTTTATTTTATCAAAAAAATTCAAGGGCTATGAAAGCGAGTCGTCTTTTTACGCCACTTTCAGCCCCCTACAACGTGAAATATGAAGATGTCGTCTCGATGGAACTGGATATTTATAAGAATTTCGCTAAAGATATTAGGGAAGGTATATTCTAATTCGTTGTTAAGGTTTTGTTTTTAATTTAGCTTCCTACCAAAACGCGAACGGGTTGACAACTTTGCATAGAAATCGGATGTGGTCCAGTGATCAGACGTTGATGTCCTATCGGCTGTATACGTGGAAGAAAAAGTGGGTTGTTATAAAACTGAACTTCAATCTAGCCTCAAAAATTTCACATATAGCTTGGAATTCCGCAAGGTCCCCTGCTAGCCTGCTATCGCCACGAGAAAAACCAGAATTGTCAGGATTAGACAATTTCTTGAGAAAGTGAAAATGAGCTATTTTCACACTGTTTCGATAATTCCTAAGAATTCTCTGCTAGCATGACTCCAAATGGCCTAAAGGTTTCATATTTGACCAGGTTGAATAGCTATTTTCCAGCCAAGATCGCGCCATCCGAATCGGCGAGTGGAACAGGGTCGGAAATCGACTGGATCGGATGAAGATTTT